AATTTTTCCAACTTAAAACCATTGCTGCGAGTCCTGTCTTCGCTAGATATTTTTAGCACGTTATTTACTTTCCCTTTGCTTATTCCTGTTTTCCATTTATACACCTCGATCATATCCCCCCTAATTCTACGCCTTTCTAGAGAGTGCAGATTCAGGGCCTCAGTCTATCCTCATAGGGAAGATTTTTGATACATGAGATCAACTTTGTCATCCTCTGTACGTTTTCCAGAGCATTTACGTCCATTCTGTAATACGGTGACCAGAACTGAGCAGCATAGCCTAAATGAGGCCTAACCAAGGATATACAGAGTTGAAGAACAACCTGAGGACTTGTATTATTTATACTTCTAGATATGAAGCCAAGAATTCTGTTAGCTTTATTGCGAACACTTATGCACTGTTGTCTTGGTTTTAGATTACTGCTAACCAGAACTCCTAAATCCTTTTCGCAATCAGTAGTATTAAGATCTACATTATTTAGTTTATGTGTGGCATGGTTGTTTTCCTGTCCAACATTTAGAACTTTGCATTTGTCTATATTAAACTGCATTTGCCACTTCTCCGACCATTGCATCAGTCTATTCAGATCTTCCTGAAGTGCTCTAATGTCATCGTCAGAACGAATTGGACGACTTATTATGGTGTCATTGGTAAAGTAAGGCACGTAAATTACTGAGAACGCCTTCAAGTCTTGAACATGTACTCATTGGAGCGGAGGAGAGAGAGACATGATAATATGTACCTGGAAAATACTCGAGAACCTGGTCCCAAATCTGCACATTGCTATAACAACATACTGGAGTGAGAGATGGGAGGAAGTGTAAAATAAACCCAGTGAGGAGCAGGGGTGCGGTGGGCACAATAAGGGAACACTGTATCAACATTCGAGGGAGATGTTTTGGATGGTAAGATCATTATAAAAATTACAATATTTATAGATGAACTATTAAGATTGGTTATAATTATAAGCATAATTTTTTAAGGGGTGGACCGGTAAGCCAGCGGAACGCCTCGATCAGATGACCAGACTCTCCAGTGGCGGGTCATCGTATGACTAAGACCAGCGTCAGGGAAGATTTGTCCTGTTTCCTGACAAACCTTACCTAACATATTTATAGATGTGAGAGAGCAAATATGTCACTTGTTAATACAGAACTGACGAATTCATGTAGGTATTAAAGTGGAAAACAACAATTTAGTAATTATCCTTGTTTATACAACACTGTCAGCTGAGGAATTCACTAATCATAAGAGAAAGATACTGATCATCCTTGATAACCTTGAAAATTCCCACTAAATATTGCCCTCCTCTGAGATTTTAATTTCCCAGATATGAAATGAAGATGGTAAATCAGTGTTGTACTAGCAGTGATTCCCAGCAGCTGGTTAACTCAGTAGGTACACACCAGAGATCTAATGATTCCCAGCAGCTGGTTAACTCAGTAGGTACACACCACAGATCTAATGGTTCCCAGCAGCTGGCTAACTCAGTAGGTACACACCAGAGATCTAATGATTCCCAGCAGCTGGTTAACTCAGTAGGTACACACCACAGATCTAATGGTTCCCAGCAGCTGGCTAACTCAGTAGGTACACTCCAGATATCTAATGATTCCCAGCAGCTGGTTAACTCAGTAGGTACACACCACAGATCTAATGGTTCCCAGCAGCTGGTTAACTCAGTAGGTACACTCCAGATATCTAATGATTCCCAGCAGCTGGTTAACTCAGTAGGTACACACCACAGATCTAATGATTCCCAGCAGCTGGTTAACTCAGTAGGTACACACCAGAGATCTAATGATTCCCAGCAGCTGGTTAACTCAGTAGGTACACACCACAGATCTAATGGTTCCCAGTAGCTGGTTAACTCAGTAGGTACACACCACAGATCTAATGGTTCCCAGCAGCTGGCTAACTCAGTAGGTACACTCCAGATATCTAATGATTCCCAGCAGCTGGTTAACTCAGTAGGTACACACCACAGATCTAATGGTTCCCAGCAGCTGGTTAACTCAGTAGGTACACTCCAGATATCTAATGATTCCCAGCAGCTGGTTAACTCAGTAGGTACACACCACAGATCTAATGATTCCCAGCAGCTGGTTAACTCAGTAGGTACACACCAGAGATCTAATGATTCCCAGCAGCTGGTTAACTCAGTAGGTACACACCACAGATCTAATGGTTCCCAGTAGCTGGTTAACTCAGTAGGTACACACCACAGATCTAATGGTTCCCAGTAGCTGGTTAACTCAGTAGGTACACTCCAGATATCTAATGATTCCCAGTAGCTGGTTAACTCAGTAGGTACACACCACAGATCTAATGGTTCCCAGCAGCTGGTTAACTCAGTAGGTACACTCCAGATATCTAATGATTCCCAGCAGCTGGTTAACTCAGTAGGTACACACCACAGATCTAATGATTCCCAGCAGCTGGTTAACTCAGTAGGTACACACCAGAGATCTAATGATTCCCAGCAGCTGGTTAACTCAGTAGGTACACACCACAGATCTAATGGTTCCCAGTAGCTGGTTAACTCAGTAGGTACACACCACAGATCTAATGGTTCCCAGTAGCTGGTTAACTCAGTAGGTACACACCACAGATCTAATGGTTCCCAGCAGCTGGTTAACTCAGTAGGTACACACCACAGATCTAATGGTTCCCAGCAGCTGGTTAACTCAGTAGGTACACACCACAGATCTAATGGTTCCCAGCAGCTGGTTAACTCAGTAGGTACACACCAGAGATCTAATGATTCCCAGCAGCTGGTTAACTCAGTAGGTACACACCAGAGATCTAATGGTTCCAAGCAGCTGGCTAACTCAGTAGGTACACACCAGAGATCTAATGATTCCCAGCAGCTGGCTAACTCAGTAGGTACACACCAGAGATGTAATGATTCCCAGCAGCTGGTTAACTCAGTAGGTACACACCATAGATCTAATGGTTCCCAGTAGCTGATTACCTCATTCTCCTCCTGTTCTTCAAGATTCTCCTTTGTATGGACTGATGAAGCCACTGTGTGGCGAAACGTTTCCTCAATAAAGATACCCAAGAGTTGCACATGTGTCTAATTTATCAACATGTCGGTTGTCTGAACCATTCATCTACAAACTGAGATATAATTAACAGTGAAGTATTATATATATCTTGGGAAATATGTCATGCTAAACCCTCACCAGTGTCTGGGAAGCTGTACTCACAAGCATACAAAGTCTGCATTGAATATATTCCACTGAGGGAATATAACAGAGGATCAGTTTTAAAATGAAAACGTAGAATAATATACAAAAGAAGAGGTTAAGAAACTGCCTAATAACGTGAATGTCACAAAGAAGAAAAGATAATCATAGCCCAGAGATAATCGAAACTGGAATTACAAAAGGAACGAAATAAAAACATTCGAGCTGTCGTAAGAAAATTCCAACTGTTTTTATCAATAAAAATCCAGGTTGAAATTTACCTGTAAAATAGGATCATTAATCACAGGAGGTTCGCACAGCGACGACGTAACGAAAATTACGTGAAATATTACAAGACGAACATGAATCATCGCTCAGCAGTCCACTGAACAAACCATACCACGGGCGGGGTTTGAAACCGCGATCAGAGAGTCTCAAAACTCCAGACAGTCGCGTTAGCCGCGGGTTCAAACCCCACCCGTGGTATGGTTTGTTTACAATCGTGTCATTACGATTTCTTGAGTCAAAAAATTAGAGAACATTTCCATAAGTGTAGCAACTGGTCCTGATTCATGGAATTCCTGATTGATAAAGAAATTCAAAATATTTGGTCGACCCGATAGTCTCTATCTTAACTGTACTCTTATATTCATTAATAGGATATCTTATATATGAAAATAAATTACCAGATATTAAGCAAATTTGCTTATAACATATGAGTCAGTTATGGATATAAATCCAGATGTTCTGTAAACTCTTCTGGGGCCTAGTTCCTAGGCCTTTTGTGTATCCATATGCTCTTGCGCGACCCTCCACAAGATGGTTAGGTTAGGTTCGTCAGGAAACAGGACAAGTGTTTCCTGACGTGGGTCTTAGATGATGACCCGCTGTTGGAGCCTTTGGTCATCTGACCGAGACCTTCCGCTGGCTTACCGGTCCACCCCTTTAAAAATTATGGTCACGGGATGGATATTTGGTGCACAATAAACTAGCCGCTACCATCCATAGGATGGATAATAATAATAATAATAATAATAATAATAATAATAATAATAATAATAATATAATAATAATAATTGATCTCTTGCAGCAGAATTTATTAATTAGTACAAGAAGCTATAAACCCGCACGAATGTTAGAGCTACATGGTGGAGCAGAGAGCTGGGACACATGACATGACTCACCACCCTCCCTGGGACACGTGGCCCGGGACTCACCACCCTCCCTGGGACACGTGGCCCGGGACTCACCACCCTCCCTGGGACACATGGCCCGGGACTCACCACCCTCCCTGGGACACATGGCCGGGACTCACCACCCTCCCTGGGACACATGGCCCGGGACTCACCACCCTCCCTGGGACACATGGCCCGGGACTCACCACCCTCCCTGGGACACATGGCCCGGGACTCACCACCCTCCCTGGGACACATGACATGACTCACCACCCTCCCTGGGACACATGGCCCGGGACTCACCACCCTCCCTGGGACACATGGCCCGGGACTCACCACCCTCCCTGGGACACATGGCCCGGGACCACGGTCCTGAATGCGGCTTGATAGTTCATTTATATTGTGATGTATTGAAGAGTGGCCGTGAAGGGGCGTGCCCAGCTGCTGGGGCCCTCCCTGCCACCCTGCCCACTCCTCCCTCCCCCTACCCTCTCATCCCTGCCCCTACCCTCTCTTCCCTGCCCCATGCTCTCTCCTCCCTCCTCCTCTCTCTCTTGTCTTCCCTTTCTCCCCCCCCCTTATCCACCCACAGCCTGCCCCATGGCCTGCCCCACGGCCTGCCTCACAGGCTGCCCGCTGCCCCAGCACAGCAGCAGTGAGCCTGACACAGGTCTGGTGAACGGTTGCCCACGTTCAGTATGCGCTAACTCTCTTTCCGGGAGGTACGACTCGATAACCCCGTACGGTCCAGCGTGTTGTGACTGGCTGTGGGTGCGGCCCACAGACTACCACCGTCCTGTGGTCACAGTTCCACTTCTTATTCCCTGGAACTTGGACTAACTAGAGCAATCTGTGTCCTTCCTGTGTGAGTGTTGTGTGTCACACAGAACTGTGTGGCCTCAAAGAAGTCTATGTCACACAGAACCGTGTCTAGTGATAACTGTGTGGCCTCACAGGAATCTGTGTCACACAGAACTGTGTGGCCTCAAAGAAGTCTGTGTCACACAGAACCGTGTCTAGTGTAAACTGTGGTGGCCTCACAGGAATCTGTGTCACACAGAACTGTGTGGCCTCAAAGAAGTCTGTGTCACACAGAACCGTGTCTAGTGATAACTGTGTGGCCTCACAGGAATCTGTGTCACACAGAACTGTGTGGCCTCACAGGAATCTGTGTCACACAGAACTGTGTCTGGTGATAACTGTGACTTCTCAAGTGTCAACACGTGTGATTACGTGTGCGACGGAGGATGTTTTGTTCGTGTCATTGCACAGTAAAGTGTTATCGAATATTGTATCTGTTTAGGAACATCACCCCAGCTGCCTGGTGGGACGCCAGGCCTGCCCTAAACTGAGTAGGAAATGTCACGGAGATAAAAGCAAGAAAACACAGAAAGGAGAGTCTAGACAAGTGTGCACTGAGTGTAATGATAAATCAGCTTCTGAATGAAAGTTGATGGAACAGAAAGACGAAGGAAGAGCAGTCTTACCAGTGAGAAAATATATTTAATGTGAGAGGGAATCCTTTACACGTTTGTGGTTACGACTCGGTATTTTCCTCAGGTGTGTGTGTGAGGTAGTGGCAGCAGTGGTCACTCCCTCACACTACTCTGGACTTCCTGTAGCGTGGTGAAGGTGACTTGAGCCAAGGTCCATCGTAAGTGCGACATTACCTTAAATCTGGGAACGAGAGAGAGAGAGAGATTTGTGTGTGTCGGAGCCTTGGATGCAGCAGTGTCACTGTGGCCCTCGTGTGGATATGTGCCATAAGGTGATATGCTGGTATACTTTACCTGTCACCATTAGGAGTGTTGACGTGTGTAGGCCTCTGGTGGTGATATGGCTACTACTACATGTTACGACTCACCTTTCGTGTATCTGACGCTTGGTGATAGTGATACTTTTAAATATAAGTATGTTAGTGTTGATAATCTGGACTTGTGACAGTTTACAAGCTATGTATGTGATAATTCTGTGCCGAGATTTTGGGTAAGTGTCTTCATTTGTCTTCACGTCACTGGACATATCAGTCTTGTACTGCGTAAAATCAGTGTTAAGTAGAGGTAATGTAGCATTTTGTGTTCCACACAGGGAGGTGGTAGGTTACTGTGTCGTAGGCCTTGACAAGTATGATAGGCTCATCCTCTGTGAGTTTGGTTTAAGGCACCATTACAGTGTATGCAGCATTCTGTGCCTTGGATAAGTGACTTGGTGAAGTGCATTCGTTTCACAGCTGCATTAAACGACGTGGTTGCATTGTGTGTGTGACGTACCTGTAAACTGCCTCCTGGCACTGTCTATGTTACGTGTGTTACTACATTCTTGTACTGTACTTGTCTAAAATTGAAATCCCCAAAGGCTATGTTTGGGGAAGGGGGGGTCGGGTTCGTTAGATTTTCAGCGCACTTCCATATTTTTGCTACCATATTTTTAAACTGCTGGGGATTTGCATCTAATGGTTTGTGTTCAAGAACTCTCACTAAATTCTGAATTCACCTTTCAGTAGCAGTGCTTCGACTACCGTGTTATATAGTATTAATTAAGTTACTTCAGTTCAGATTGGCAAATCTTTTTCCTTCTTATTTTTTGAGCATTCGTCTCATCAGCGTTGCTTGTGTTTTTAATGTACGATAACTGCACAGCGGAACGAAAAGTTAGCAATGCTTCTGTCACGTGAGGTCACAGACCCTGAGCTGCTTTGGGGATTAGCGTGGACGGTTACAAAGCATGGCTTGCTTCTGCAGTGTTTTAAAAACTGAGGTTGGAGAGTTGAAGGAGGAGGTCTTGCTTCTCCAGGAGGAGATTAGGAGGCTGAAGGTCCACCTCAATGGGCCTGGGAGAGAGTGTGAGGTGGTTGGAGATGTGGGGAATGAGGCTTCTAGCAGTGAGGTGCAGTCTGTCTCTCACTGTGAGGAGGCTGTAGGTGGGGAGGTAGCAACGGCTACCAGCAGTGAGGTGCAGCCCAGCACCTGCTACAAGTGGCGAGTTGTTCACAGTAATGGGAGGCGCATCAGAGTAAGGAAAGTTAAGAGTGAAGATCTGAAGGTAGGAAATCGCTTCTCTGTTCTCCAGGATGAATGTACTTCAGTGGCCAGTGAAGGTAAGGGTACTACTGCCCCTGCTAATGAAGGTAAGCGCATTCTTGTGGTTGGTGACTCTCAGGTAAGATATGTTGACCGTGCTTTTGTAATAGGAATAAGAAGATGAGAGATAGAGTGTGCTTCCCTGGAGCTTGGTGTTGGGGACATTGTCAACAGGCTGGAATAATATCAGTCAGGTAATGGGAACAAGCCCATTATCTGTCTCAGTGCTGGTGGAAATGATATTGGAAGGGTAGGAGAGAAGAGCTGCTAGATAAGTACAGGTCAGCTATAGATTTCATTAAGTCTAAGGGAGGGATCCCAATCATATGTAGCATCTTGCCTAGAAGGGGAGTAGGAAATGAATGGTTGTCTAGGGCAATTGGTGTAAATTGCTGGCTAGACAGATACTGCAAGGAACTTGCAATCCCATTCATTGACAACTGGAACAACTTTTATGGCAAACATGATATGTATGCAAGGGATGGGGTACATCTCTCTGGGCAGGGGGTAGCACTTGCAGACTCGATTGAGAAGGCCATTGGTGAAATGCCTATGATTTTAAACTGATGGAAGATAGAGGTATGGGTGTGTGTGGGAAACAAGCAGGTTGCAACACTAGGGTTGGAAACAGTAAATGTATAAAAGGCATTCAGCATGAAGTTATAAATAAAGACAATATGAACAGGTTCAGCAAACAAAGGGGGACAGCAGAGGGCAGCAGGGACTAGCTCCCTTAAGGTTTACTATACTAATAGCAGGAGTGTTAGAAATAAGATAGATGAGCTAAGATTAATTGCAAGTGCAGGAAACATAGATATTATTGCTATAACAGAGACCTGGCTCAATCTGAAAGATAGAGAGATGCCCTCTGAATGTCACATACAAGGCTATAAATTATTCCACACTGACAGGGTCAACAGGAAAGGTGGTGGAGTAGCGATGTATGTCAGAGACAATTTAAATTGTTGTGTTAGACAAGATATTAAATTAGAAGCGTCAGCCACTGAATCTGTTTGGTTACAGCTTCTCGAGGGCCGAGAAAAACTAATTTTGGGTGTGATTATACAGGGCCCCAAATCTTGATAGGGAGTGCAGTAAACTTCTATGGGACGAAAATTCGTAAGGCATCTACATACGAAAATGTTGTGCTAATGGGAGATTTCAACTATAGACAGATTGACTGAGCAATTTGACAGGAAATTTAGAGTCGGGTGCTTTCTTGATTCGATCCAGGATTGTTTTTTAAAACAGTTTGTGACAGAGCCAACTAGGGGAAATAACCTCCTTGACTTGGTTCTTGCCAGTAGGGAAACACTAATTAATAATCTTGAGGTTAATGATGAGCTTGGGGGGAGTGATCACAAATCACTCAGTTTTAACAAATTTGGAATTCCCCCAATAATGGCAATCAAGTCTCCGTCCCTGACTTTCGCTTGGCTGATTTCACAGGACTGAAAAAATTACTTAGGTGGGCTGAACTGGAATGACCTGACTAAGGGTCAGGTTAGGTGGTGATGGTTTGCCGATATGATGCTTTTCCCGGGCAAATTCTACTGCTCATCAAATTATGTTTTCCCAAAAGGGGAAAATAGATCAAACAAAAATGATCCAAAAGGGATAAACAATAGATTAAAATATCTTTTGGTCAAAGAAGGCAAAAAGGCAAATCAAAAGAGGAGAGGGGGAATTAAGAAAAACGATATACGTTAAAGAGGAAATAAAAAAAAGGGGAAATTTGAAAAAACAAAAAGAGATTAAAGGTTAAAGTTGCAAGAGATGAAGACTAAACCCAAAAGGATTTTTCAGGGATACAGAAGTAAGTCAGGGGCAAGTAGGCCCCCCTCAAAAGTTCCCCGGGTCAGTCACTGACAGTGATAAGGGAAATGTGTAGAATTTTTAACACAAATTCCTCTCATTTTTACCAGGGTTCCTGATATTCCGTAAAAGATAAAATTTGTGAACGGACGATAATAAACTGTCACAAAAGGTCACAAATGACATGGCCTTTTGGGAAATGATAAATTAAAAACCCAACAAATCCCCAGCCCGATGAACTGTAGCAAGGGTTTTTTAAAGGAATTTAAAAAGGGGGCTTTGCCCCCTTTTGGGATCTTTTTCAAATATCCTACAAACGGCTGGTCCAGTAAGTGGAAAAAGGCAAAAGGATACCTTTTTTTTAAAACAGGGGCAGGTCCTTACTTCAATATAGCCAAAAGCCAACCCCATATGGAAAATTATGGATTTAAAAAATTGCCGAGGAGTTCGTAGCCACCTTTAAAGCATAAAATTTAAACACGAATCTCCATGGTTTTACAAAGGGGCGTTCCCGCCTTACGAATTTATTAACTTTTTTTACTAAGGAAATTTTAGGAGGGAGACAGGGAATGAATATGTATTTTTATATGGACTTCAGTAAAGGTTTTGACAGGGTCCCACATCAGAGACTATTGAGGAAAATTAAACACTTTGGAAAAGGAGGAGAAATTTTTTCCTGGTAGAGGCCTTGGGTTACAAATAGGCGCAGAGAGTTTGCATAAATGGGGAGAAATCAGAGTGGGGAAGCGTCACGAGCGGTGTTCCCAGGGGTCAGTGTTGGGCCCCCTGCGTTCACAATCTACATAAACGACATAGATGAGTGGCAT